ATCTTCACGCCAGCTGGCTTTTGGATTTGGCAGCTGGTGGGCTCCAGTCATCTGGCCAGGTAGCCAAGGGACCACCTGCTTATGCACTGATGGCTCCTGCTCGGGATACACAGCGTGGCAGGGAGTCTCAGGTCCCTCATCCTGAGTCCCTGTGACTCAGCAGCCACATCCGCCATAAGATGTTGCACAGGGGCACAGCCAGGAAAGGTCCTGACTAAGACGCATGTGGCTGTGAGTCTGTGTCCCAAGGACACGGGGACTTGGTCAGGGTCCATGTCCCAGAGACTTGGTCAGGGTCTGTGCCCTGAGGACACAGGGACATGGTCAGGGTCTGTCCCAGGGCTGTGCAGACCAGGGCTCAGCTGTGCTGGAGCATGCAGGGATGGAGGCGAGCGGGGAACAGCTCCCAGCTCGGGGAGGGCAGGATGTGGGCAGGGGATGCCAGCCGCCTCTTGTGTGCCCAAAGCGCAGCCGTTGGCACACACGATGCCTGTGTGGGCGAGCAGCAGTGGCAGGGGGGCTGCCGGCCCCATCCTGCCCGCAGGGATTTTTTTTTTGACAGGGGAGGGGGGCTGACCCCTGTTAGCCACAGCAAGCACAGACAATGCCCCAGGGCGTGGATCATCCCGGGTCCATGCCAAATTCAGACAGGATGCAGCAGTGGAGTTTGCCACGGGGTTTGGGGCATGCCAGGGAGGCAACAGCACGTTCAGAGGATGGAAACCAAGCGCCAGGTTCCCATCTGTAAGCCAGATGGAAAAGAAGGATACTTGTTTTGTTTTTGAATTGTCATGGACATTTGGAAAAAATAGAGAATTTGGTTTTAGAAGGAGGAAAACAGACACTAATGAAACTCTGAAAAGAAGCAGTTCGGTTGAACTCAAGATGGTGATTTTTTTGTACCCAACATTTTTGTCTGTATTAGGAAAGGCAAGCCAGGACATGCCATCAGGAAAGCTCAGCAAAAAAACACCTTCAGCTCAAGAACTCAATTGAGGAGCAAAACTTGATGGTACAGGATTAAGCGCTGGAGGTTTTATTTAATTTGTGCTGTTGCATCAAATCCTGTTATCACTGCTGCTTGGAGGGAACAGGCTGGGAGATGCCAGCTCAGCACCGGTGTGCGGGGACGTGCTGAACCCTGGGAACAGAGGATCCCAGACTCGTCAGCTGCTTGGTCTTAAAATGGAGATGATGGCAAAAAAGTCCCTTCAGAGCAGCTCCCCTCAGCTGCAGTCCCTCTGATTATCCCCATGTAAAATCACTGTTTCCCACCCAAGCAGGTGGCTACTGCACCACATCAGTGCCACCGGTGCTTGCACAAGAGGGCTTGAGCTCATCTAGCAGGTCCTGACCCCAAAGCGGGGCTGCTGCTCACCGCCCTTTCCTCTTTCTGCCATCTGTGCTTTGAAATGAATTTAAACATTGACATAGGTATTTTTGTTACATAGGGGTTTTTCTGTCTGGAACTTCACCTACTTCTGCTTTAATTCCAGATGATGATGCTGAGATCTGGCCATAATTTGAGGCACGAGCACCAGATTTGCTCTCCGGAGCAAATTCCCCCGAGCCGGTTCTTTTTCCAGCCCCCTTCCCCGGGCCCACAGCGGTGGGGCTGCTCCCTGCCACTGAGCCACAGCACATCCCACGGCCACCACCAAAGGCTTTGCTGGGGCTCTCTACCTCTTGCCTGTGCCACCCCTCTCAGCCCCCCCAGCCCTGGCCCCCATTTCTCAGCTGAGGCAGGAACCAGGAGCTGTCGGGGCTGGCAGAGGTGAGGAGCTGGGTGGGAACTGCTGTGGTTTGAAGGTGTCTGAAGGATTTTTCTGTTCCCTTATGGCTTTTTCCAGCAGCGGTGAGCAGCCCTACGCCGCGCTGGTAGGGTGGAGGTGTCTGTGCTTGTCACTTGTGCACCGAGCAGAGCCGGTCTCATTGCTGGACTTGGTGCCCGGGCGCAGCACGAGGCAATCCGTGAATATTTTTTATTATGTCTTGAGCTGTTCACCTTCAGATTTACTCTTGGAAACCAGGACAGATTCCCCCTGGTTTACAGCCTCAGCCATTTACACAAGGCTGAGCTGGTGTTTCCTTCTCCGATGTGCACGGGCTGATGCTCAGGGTGGTTCATTAGTGATTTCTGATTGAGAACGCAGGCAGCAGGGTTGCTTCAGGCAGTCAGGGCACCTTCTCCGGCAGTTTTGGTTTTTCAGAAAGTTTGTCCATCCACGGCATTTCTGTGGGCAGCACCCGGCGGAATTGGCTCTTGTGTGGCTGGGAGCTTGCGGGGGAAGGGCTGGAGGGATTTGGTGGCAATAAAGTGATTTAATAGCGTTCTCCTCGAGCAGCTCCTATTCCTAGGCTTCAAAGCACTTGCTTGGAAGCTTACCTGAACTTTGCTCTCCAGTGTGCCTAACCAGCGACATTACAGAATTACTTATTTTCTGGTTAATGTATAATTAGTCCAACACAGACAGTTTGGAGGTTGTAGCCGTAGGTAGTTCAGCTCTAGCTCCCGTGCTGCTGGTGCTGGCTGCGATGGATGCAGCCTCTGAGGAAAAGGTCAAATAAGTTAAATTTCTTTTTTTTTTCCTCAAGTCCTGCTCATGAGGAGTCATCGTCGTGCGATGAATACCTTGAGGTCCTGTACATTCAAGCACGAGAGAAGTCTTGTCGACACACGCTCGGTCACCACACAGCACTTGGGTGTGAGCTTCTGTCAGAGCGAGCGCCCTCGGGGACGGCAGGGTGGCGTTTTGGGAGAGGACGAGGTGTACCTGTAGAGCAGGGCTGTATAGCTCACACCCAGGCCATGCTGGGTGTGCTGTTTGGCCTAAAATAGGTGGTGTGGTTATGCTTGGAGTCAGATGGATTTGGTGTCTTTGTGCATTTTCTGGTCAAATACAGCAAGTTTCTATAGACAGCGACCCCTCTCCAGTCAACCACATCCCCCAAATCTTAAAGGCTTGACCCTGTATATTGAATTTTTGCTGTCTGTGCAGTACGTTGTGGAAAGAGGTAGAGTGGACAGCTGGGCCAGAGGCATTTGGCACCAAGGAAACACAGGAAGCCACTCAGTTTCATGGGCAAATTATTATTTAGCTGGGTTCATTTTGCAGCCAAAGTGCCTTTGGCACAGTGGAGGCATTTTAAAAACACTGACCCTTAACCTCGACGACCGAAGGCTGAAGGTCTGCGAGCAGGCGCTGTGCTGGCAGCCCCAGTGCTGGGTGCTGAGCACCCAGAGAGTTAATAATAGTTAATGACAGTTAATAACAGCCTGTATCAGCTGCAAATTCTGCCACCGCGTTTTTCACCGGCTTTCCCAAAGTGAAGAGAAGGAGATGGAAAACATCTCTGCAGCATGGGGCCGTGTCAGCCCGGCCAGCGTGGAGCTGCCATGGCACCCACAGCTTGCATTACCACCAGGTTTCTTTCCAGAAATCTCTTTTCTTTGACATGTGGAATAGATTCCTGTATATATATTTGATCCACGTATATATTTTTCACGATGAGCATCCTTGAACTTATCCGAGCCCCGCTGACCCGCACGCTCCCATCCACCTTAATACCTGTGGTGAAGATAAGCACAGGTGCACACCTAGGCCAGCCCACAACTCGCCCTTCCCAGCAGGGATCAGGAAATATCTTAGGGAAAGTTTTTGTTTCCCTGAATTGCAGCCCAGAGCAAACTGCGTTGAACCACGCTGCGTCCCCCTTGCCTCGGGGTTCACTTCTGCTTGGTCTTGCGCAGCAGCAAAGCCCATCGACTTCTCAGTTTGGTTTTGGCAGGATGGGCAGGGCTGTCAGATGGCATCTGGGTCTCTTTGTAACGCAAGAGTTGCTCCTTTTTGTTGCCCACAGCTGAGCGGAGCAGCTCCAGCAGCCCAGGAGAGAGGTTTCTGCCTCCCTCCCCTTGCCTTTGCCTGGGCTTGGCCACCGCTTGCCCGGACAGCTCAGCCCCTCTGCTCCCTGGGCACAGGGCGAGCGCTGGTGTGGGTGATATCCTTGCTCTCTGCTAGCATGGCTAATTATTAAAATCATGCTATACTTTGATCTGTGGTCTAATTAGCTTCCCTTTGTGGGAGAATTATCTAATCTGAGGCTGACATGTTTGACGTCTCTCCACAAGTTCTCCTGGCAGGGCTCCCTTCACCAGCAGATTAGTCACCGGGATGGGAGCAAGCCATGCCAGAAACACGCTTGGCTCTAATTTTGGTGGACAAAGACTCACGATGCTGTTTTTACTATTTTTTTTTTTAAACCTCATCTGGTGTTACACATGGTTTTAGGTGGAAGTTTCCACGCTGGCTCCCGTCCTAAGCCGCCAGCCCCAGTCGTGAGGCTGAGCGATGGGCAGAGTCAGCCCTGCACGTTGTGGGGATGGAAAGGAATTTGGAAACTGGTCAGTGTGGGAAAAGAGATTTTATTCTGTGCATACTCTTGCGTGTGTTTTGTCGAGCCCAGAAGTTGTAGAAATGCAGCAGTTTTGGTGCTGGCAGAGGTCTGGTAAACTGGAAACTGTCACTAGCCAGATAGCCCTTCTCCATTGCCCTGCTTTTCTGGTAGGGAGCATCTCAGGCCATGGGGAGCCGGGTCCTGGGTGTTGGGAGGGCTGAGAGGTGCATGGTGGGGAGGAAACGTGGGGCCAGGGCAGCCCCCGGGGCGCACACACCAACTGCCCATCGCGTTTGGCATCGCTGGCCGCTCTCCCACCTCAGAGGTGATGGGGTCCTGTCAGATGGCCACCGGTGTTTCAGGGGGCCCTGGCTTGATGGGGCTTAACTGGGGAGGTGACTGCTTTCTCTCTTATTTTTTTAATGCTTTAAGCAGGACTTCCTGGCAGCTGTGGAAACAGCACCAGTGCCAGCGATGGGCGGAAACACGGGTGTGGGGAAAGTAAATTAAATGACTTGGAAATGTGTGTGTGTCTCCAGCCAACAGCCCCCGTGCCTGGCTGAGGCTCGAGGCAGCATTGGGGCCGTGTCTGAGCTTGATCCCTTCTCTTGCAGTGGAACCTGGTGTGTGAGGATGACTGGAAGGCCCCGCTGACCACCTCCCTCTTCTTCGTGGGGGTCCTCATCGGCTCCTTCATCTCGGGGCAGCTTTCGGACAGGTAACGCCACTGCTCCTGCTCCACGGGGACACACCTGGTGCCATGGCTGCTGCATTTGCTCCTATGAGGCACAAGGGAGTTAACTGTCCAGTTCTCTGAGTTTTCATCAAAATGGGGTAACTGGCTGCTGTCTTCACAAATCTCAACCTTGATTTACCCCAAGCTGCTTCTTGGGCACTTTGAGGGACCAGGAGCTGATCTCTGTGAGGAGCCCATGTGGCTGCTTTGCAGATTGATGTTGTGGTTGTCACTTCATGACCACATTTCTTTCTTTATCTGGCCTTTTTAGTAGTTGAAAAGGTGTTGTTCATAGTCACACGTGAACTGACAGTCCGTTCTTGGAGCTACAGGATTAAAACCTGTCCTTTGAGTGGCAGCTCTGCATAGAAGAGGTGGTTTGCTGGAAATAAAGTGAGCATATCCAAGAGGAAGAATAAAAGAGAACTTGTAAATAGATAGCAGTCATGACGTACCATCTAAGATGTAATATATCAGGAAAACATTGCAGATATTGACAATTATCTCAGCACTATTGAAGTTTTGGCCTTATATGTGTCAAATGCAGAATATACATTCCTTCTGTGAGTCTGTGTCCCTCTTTACACAGCCCTTGCCCTTTTTTTCCATCTCCTCACAGCAGGGTCTCCAATACAGCTGTGATTGCTGCCTGTTAGTCAGGAATCTGTGAGTTTCAGCGCTCCTCTGTTTAGCAGAAGGGTTTCAAAACTTGATGAGAGTCTTAATCCTAAAGCCTCCAGCGTTCAATCCCATGTGATCTGAATTTAATCTCCCGACTCCCACCCCTGGTGCAGAAGTCAGCTGGTGTTTGGAAGGGAGATGAGATAATCGCTAAATCCCACTGGTGCCATGTGCCTGCTGCGAGCATCTGAGACAACGTACGTGCCCCGACGGCAGCACGGGAACACGTTCAAGGCACGATGGTGTTGCAGTGTGTAGATGCCAGTAGCCTAAAAGCCGTAATTTCCCAACTTTTGGCTGCGTGGCTTGTAGTCTTCAGGTGTCTCTCACTTACGGACTGTTGTCCAGTCTCCTCAGTCACTGTCCAGTTTCTACTTCTAATTTTTCTTCTTGGTTTATTTCCTGGGTATTAGATAACTTTAGGGTTTTTTAGTGCTTATGAGATTAATAAAATTCTTTAAGATGAACCAAACTTAAGGTTGTGCTAAGGTGCATCACTTGAGGTTGGATATTTGTGCTCCCTTACACTTTATTATATATCCCCGCTCCATAAATGTGTGCTGTTTCAATAATAATCTCCTTTGTCTTTTGCAAAAGGTTTGGCAGGAAGAGCATCCTCTTTTTGACGATGGCCGTGCAGACTGGCTTCAGCTTCCTGCAGATCTTCTCCACCAGCTGGGAGATGTTCACAGTGCTCTTTCTCATAGTGGGCATGGGGCAGATCTCCAACTACGTGGTGGCCTTCATACTGGGTATGAATATGTCTACATTAGATTAAATACTTGCTTAATGTACTGTAATATTTTTTTTTCCCTCTGACTCTGCACCATTTAAATCCTCACTGGTACAATTCCTAATTTAGGCCAGTATGGTTTTTTTTGCTCTTGGATACTTCAAGCCTGTACTTTCTACACATTTAGAGAAAAAGAAGAGAACAGGAAACCTCTAAGTACGCATCCCTTTCCCTCCTTTTCGGAGAAGAAGTTCAAGGCAGCATTCAGGGTTTGTTATCAGCAGAAGCAGGTCTGAGATAGAGCAGGCGTTCAGGTTCCTCCCTTTGCAAGGGGTCCGTGGGGTTTGTAGGAAAGGCGGCTGTACAGGTGCATTACTGGGAGGACTGATGTAGGTCTCAGGGAGGAGCTGGGATTTGCATCAGCTGTCTTTAAAGCGTGTACATAGACATTTATGTCATCTTTTAAACCAATGGTGTCAGATTTACAATTTGTAGATCATAACGTGAGCTAATCTAAATTAAAACCGTATTCTTATAGTTAATGCTGGTTTTTTCCTACACCATGAGGCTTTAACAGGGTAAAAATAGAGCAGAAGAGCTGGGTATGAAATCAGTGCTGTGGAGGGGACACAGA